GCACATACATATGTGTGTATGTAAGAATTGAGCAATTTAACGTTTCTGCAAAAAGAGAAACGAGAACCGATAACGAGTGCATAAGGTGGAATACATATAGACATATTGGGTTAAATAAAATAAAAATTGGCAACTTTTAAACGACACAACTTTTCACTTTCTACTTTGCCTTCTGAAGGTGTGAAAATTCGCATTAAAATTGCATGGCTTTGAGCAGCCACTGTGAGGTGAGAATATGCTTCAATACACTTCTATATCGCCTCTGGTGTTACTGCTATATTTATGCATGTATGCATGTAGATACACATGAATGCATTGCGGTGATTGGCTGATGAAATGAAACTGAGAGCTGCTGACCCATATTTGAAATAGTCGAAAAATAAAGCAAATTTGAGAGTGAAAAAATTAAATACAATAAAATAATATGAAAAATTAACTAAATAAACTAAATTAACTTAATTCAAAAAACGAAATAAAAGAAATTGATTCTAATTAAATTAAACGTTACAAAATAAAATAAAAATGACTAAAAAAAAAAAATTAAATAGAACAAAAATTAAAATAATAGGGTAAAATAAAAAAATACAAAAAAATAAATTAAAATTAATTTAAATATAATTAAATGATAGATTTGTAGTGAATATTACGTCAATAATTTTGTAAGCTACAAAAATAAAAAACAACAGTTTATCACCCAACATGTCAATAATAAAAATTTATGGTCTTACAAGACAATAAAAACTTTAAAAAAATTCACAATAATGTCAGCTTAAGGAAATAGCGTTATAATTCAGGCAATAACTATGTATTCTTACATAAATCTACAGAAGTACGCGCACAGAAAACTATATGATTTAATGTTAACATTAAGTTATATACATACATATGTACATATGGATATGTGTAAATGTAAATACTAGTATGCATACAAATTAAAATGTCATAAAAAAATATGACAATAAAAATGAGTATTAAACAGCCGCATAATTTATGCAATAACGGTGTTCAAGCATTCTACTGTGATTGAGTTTGAAAAATATTATAATTAAAAAATTTTATAAAAAATTTTAAGTCACAAGGATCTTAAATATTTTCACAATTTTATTATTTTACTGTTAATTACCTTACTTAATTTATTTTGTTTTGCATTATATTTTTTAAAAAATGTATAAATAAATGCTTATTTTATATTTTCACTTCCTGTAGTATGTGAATACCCCATGAGACGCACCATCGCGCAACTACTGTTCTGTAGTTAACAACTTTGCTACGTGTTGGGAATACTGTTTAAATAAGTCGTGTTAAAATTCCTGTGTGCACACATTTTTATGCAGCGGGAAAAGAAATATAAAATTAAATATAATATTTTGTAACGCATGGACATTACAAAGTATGCAATTGTTGGTATCGGCATGACAATGGCAAATATTTCTTTAATTTTAAAATACAGAAAATATATATTTTTTAAATAAAATATTTGCAATGGTAAAGTATAAGTGATTGAAGCCTATGGAAAACAACTCAAAGCTATTTATTTAATTTGCTTATTTTGTCGGTCGCCACTCGGCAAGGAATAGCAAGCCCACCGAGCGTATTTCTGACATGAAATAAATTAATTTTTGAATATGTTTTATTTGATTTTATTTTTTTTTAATAAATCTTATTTCATTTCAAAATATTTTTTTTTACTTTTTTCATTTTATTTTAATTTTTTTATTTAATTTTTTAATTTTATTTATTTTATTTTATTTTATTTTATTTTATTTTATCTATAATATATATATATATTTATATTTATTTATTTTAATTATAATAATATGCCTACGAAGTAATGACAAAAAGTTTATATTTATTATGTCATCCATTCTCAGTTCATTACATTTTATCAATACTCTTCATTACAGCCTTACATATTTTTAAAAATTTCTTACTCTTTACCTCTTTATCTGCCATGACTCCATGACTCTACTTCAATATTTTATTATCGAAAAAAATTTATTCATGACAAAAAATTTGACCCGAGGCATTTGGCCCTTATGGTTGCAAGTTTAGCGTCATATGTGACCAACAGCGTGACCACAGCGTAAAGAAACGAAAGCAAAAACAAACAACATATACATTATACATATCTATAAAAGGGGCAATGCCAGTTCATAATGTGGTAAGGAATTTTTAATAAAGTTTTCAAGATATTATTATTATGAAAATTGAAATTGAAGAAAATAAAATAAAAAAAGAAAAGGGCAAACAAGTATAATAAGGAATGGAAGCAATAGTGTCTGGCTTCTTATACAATAAGAATAATTTACAACAAAGAAATAAAGCGAGAAAAAATCTACAGTTGTAAAAAATTTCAGAGTAGTAATGGAGAGTCAAATTAAAGAAAAAAAATCCAAGTTGCCATCGGCCCTAATTAGTGCGCGTCAACCCTTCCAATTATATTTCAAGCATAAAATAAAAAACAAACAAATCCCATAAGACTGTCCTAGGCGACATAGAAAAAATTCTGCATCTTTCAATTTATTGAAAAGTTATCAAGGCGAGCACCACAAACCTGAGAAGGAGTCTCTAATAGAGCATCCAATGTTTCTTAGCTTCGCAAACTGTCTGCCTGTCAAGGGAACTCTCGCACCGCCTTGAAACTATAGATTGAGGACTTTCCATTTATTTCACTAGAGAGAATTATTCTCCAACCAAATAACCGATTTTAGTGAAAGCTCTTGAGCAGGGATTGAGACAGTTGTGCCTAGCAACAGTTTGTATGTTTTAACTTTCTTTGGCTTCAGTATTTTCCATGAGAATCACATAAAGGGCATTGTCAAAGGGGAGTGGAGAAATCTACTTTAGAGACTTTTATATGCTTTTTACTTTATTAATAAGTAGTTTTATTAGGTTTCTGGGATTCTGTTATGGGCCTACCTACCTGTTTTCTTACCAGAGTTATTGAGACTCAGTGTTTCATTTGATAGAGACCATCACTTTCTTTTTTATGGACAACAGCGGAAGTTCAAAAATTGCTTCACTAGTCTGTGGTAGTCAGTGGAAGCTCCCGGTAGAAATTTTCACGCCGTACTTTCTTAATAAATTTCGAGTAAAGTTACTGCAGAACCTCTGTGGGGGCAGATCTAGAGGCAAACAAACAAAGGGTAAGAGCAAGAAAAATGTATAGTGTACGATGACGGGAGTGATAAGTGACTTAAAGAGGCTGCTCTTTGATTAGCGAGAGATTATTTTCACCAAACGTGAGTTGAACTCTCTCCATAAAACAACACAACACTCTCCTGGGCCGGTTGCTGGAGATTAAAATCTCTTTCTAAATTAGAAAAAAAAGAAACACAGAGTTAATGAAGTCCAGTAGGCAAGTGGAAATTACATGCATACTACCATGCAGATTGTCAGTGGTTCGAAACTTGATCAAACCAATATACAGGATAACAGAGAAAAATTATTATTAAAAACTCTTGGTTGAATTATTTATACTTTGAAGCAAAATAAAAAAAAATTATTTCTGCGTTTAAAGAGCAGCAATACCTGCATACATAAAAATAGAACTGGTAGGCAAAATCAAAAAAAAAAAAAATATTTCGTGCTAAAAAAAAATAAATTGTTGCAAAGAATGTTTTGAGATAAAAAAAAAATATTTTCAGAAGCAAAAATATTTTTATATTTTTTTCTCTTCATTTCCTGAAAGTGTAGACCTCCTTTCTATGAAAATTCCTTTAGCTCTTGAGCTCATCAATTTCAACAAGTATATTAAGAATACTAAGGATGTCCAGAACATTTAAGCATTTTTCAAGGCAGCTCCTTCACCTCAACTTTAATTTGTTTCTTTTCAGCTCAATCGGACTATATTTTCAGTGGCTCCAATTTTTTTCTTTCACTTTTTAGTGAGCATAAATTTTCAAACGAAAAATTCTCTGATTTCATTTTAATATTGTGTAATTTTTTATTCAATACAACCACATAATATACGACGTTCATATGTAAAGTATATGTATATAAATATATCTATGTATAAATGCTCTTAGCTGAGCTGCTTTCTCAGCTATTTGAAAAACTATGGATTTGCTGCAATAAAGTTGTCTATATGTAAGTAATTTTTTCTGAAGTTTCACACATTAGAATTACAACTAGATATACATACATATATACAAGTGTATGCATATATGTAAGTACGTTTATGACAATAACACTGAGCTGCACTTGCACTCACTACCTCAGCGAGTACACACTTGTGCATTTATACATATTTTTTTTATTTTATTTAATTTTTTTATTATTTTTTTTGTAATAATGTCACTGTCGAAAAACTAGCTTGCAGCTTAACCTTAGTTGAATATTTTTCCCAACTCTTTTTGTTTCTTCTTCTCTCTCACTACTCATTTCCTATGGTTACACGCTAGTCAATAAAGTCATTCACTTTAGTTTTATTGCCTGTGATTTTGTATGATAATTCAATTAGGCAATTTATGTCTTTATAAGAAAATCCAATGAAATTAACGAAAATGTAACCTGAGCCTCGAATGGGTTTTAGAATGTTTAAATATTTTTTTCTTGTTTTTTTTTTTTTTTTTTTGTGGGTATCTTGTGTTTGTGCTGCGTAATCTTTTAGAGATCTTTGGAAGTTGTATTGAATTAAATCTTTCCAGTTTTATGTAAAGATATTCAGAAAGAAAATCAAAATTTTTTGTCTCCTCTAATGTGGAATGCCCGTAATGGGTTTTAATAAAATCTGTTAAATGTGCATAGAGAAACAGAGGGAGAGGCAGATAGAGAGAGAGAGGCAGATAGAGAGAGAACATCCCTAAAATAAGTTATTAAAAAAAAATGAGATAGTCGCCCTTCTTCCAGTTACTTATACATATTACGTTGGGTTTAAAAAAATAAAATTCATTAAACAAATATTTGAAAAATAAAAAAAATATATTACTAAAAAAATAACATTTTTTATTTATTTTAATTTAATATTTTTACAATCTTTTTTTTTTATTCTATCCAAACTTAATCTTGTAAAATACTTAAGAAAAAATCAAGCTGTAAAGCAAATACATCATCAAAAACAAATTTCACATAAAATGCGTAATCACCATATGGAAAGGGTATGAAACGAAAGTCGGCTTCAGAAAAATGTAGCTTCTCAACTATCAAATCGTGCTAGGGAATTAAGAAGAAAAAATGAAATACTAATGATTAATCGAATATGGCATTATATATTTAAAACTAATAATTATTACATTAAAAAAAAAAATATTAAAAAAATAAATCATTATAAAATATATATAAATAAAAAATAATAATATAATTAAGTTTATGGAAGGTAAGGCCAAATTGAAATTTGGAAAATTATACATAAAAAAATAACATAAATAATTTATATAAAAACACAACTTCAGTTATATAAAACGCGCATAAAAAACAAATATTAATGGAATTCGTGCAAAAGTATTAACGAAAAATTTTTGACGATTTCAACTTTTTAGCATTTACTGGCTTTTCTGCCAATTGTTTACGTGTATATTTTTAATTTTATTTCAATTTATTTATTTTTTTATTTTATATTATTATATTTTATTATTTGATTTTTTTTTATTCAAATTTATTTATTTTCATTTATTTTTTAATTTATTTTAATTTATTTTATTTTATTTTATTTTATTTTATTTTATTTTATTTTATTTTATTTTATTTTATTTTATTTTATATTATTTTATTTTAAAAATAGCAAATATTTTTTCCTCAAAGTATTTGTACAAAAATTACAACTCACATCATAAGGACACGTGTGATTCATATTCGATGACCGCTCCCAAACCACCATCAATGTGTTCAATATAAAATTATTACGTTTCTTCAAATAAGTGCAAGCATCCAGCTTAATATCGGGCATAAAGGGCTTATAACCATTTGAGTGTTTGAGAAATTGTATTGTCATCTTTATACAAATATAAAAAATTTAAATTATATCAAAAAGGTAGTAAAAAAATACAAAAAAAAATTTTAATTAAAATATAAATTAATAAAGAATGATAATGAAAAATTATTAAATGTATAATACCAAAGATTTGCTTATCGGCTTCTTCATCAGAATTATTTTCATCGAAATGTCCTTGAAATCACGACGCACCGCATTGAGTCTACAGTATTCGATATGTATGACGCTCTCATTATGACTACGGCAGCGCAGATTTTTGACGCGTAAAATGGCTTGGATTTGCTTGCGGTAAGAATAAAATAAATATAAAATAACAAAAATTTGTTAAGAAAGGCTAATTTCGTAATATAAGCAGTATTATTTAATAATCAAAAAAAAATTGTGCATTTTCCCAATTCTTATTTCCTTGTGTTATCTTTTATATATTATTTCTAAATTATAATTTTTTAAATATATGTTTATCAAACTTTTATATTTTTTTATGTAATTTATTTGTATATTTTACTAGTTTTTAATATTCTTTTATATTTTTTTTTTATTTTTTGATATTCTATATATTTATTAGATTTTTTGCAATTTATTTATTTGTAAATTTCTTTATTATCATATCATTTTAGCTGTTTTGGTATTTTTATATATTTTTCTAATCCAATGGATGAGTGCATAAGTTCGTGCTCGATTCCGCTGGATGCCGTTCGAATCGTTTGAGAGTGGCGCTCGTGAAAGAAATATATACATATTATATATCGTTGGAAAGGTGACAGTCCGAACTGTAAATCAAGCATAAAATAACTTCTTTTTGATTTGAGTTGCTTAGTGAAAAGACGCATGGAAGATGGACAACGAAAAAGATCATATGCGTCATATTATGTTATACGAATT